ATCAGTGTCTTATAGTTTTCTGAGTACAGGTCTTTTACCTCACTAGGTAGGTTTATTCCTAGGTATTTTATTCTTTTTGTTGCAGTGGTGAATGGGACTGTTTCCTTAATTTCTCTTTCTGATCTTTTGTTGTTAGGGTATAGGAATGCAAGAGATTTCTGTGCATTAATTTTGTATCCTGCAACTTTACCAAATTCGTTGATTAGCTCTAGTAGTTTTCTGCTGGCATCTTTAGGATTCTCTATGTATAGTATCGTGTCATCTCCAAACAATGACAGTTTTACTTCTTCTTTTCCAGTTTGTATTCCTTTTATTTCTTTTTTGTCTCTGATTGCTGTGGCTAAGACTTCCAAAACTATGTTGAATAATAGTGGTGAGAGTGGACATCCTGTCTTGTTCCTGAGCTTAGAGGAAATGCTTTCAGTTTTTCACCATTGAGAATGATGTTTGCTGTGGATTTGTTGTATATGGCCTTTCTTATGTTGAGGTAGGCTCCCTCTTTGCCCACTTACTGGCGAGTTTTTGTCATAAATGGGTGTTGAATTTTGTCAAAAGCTTTTTATGCATCTATTGAGATGATCGTATGTTTTTTCTTCTTCAGTTTGTTACTGTGGTGGATCACATTGATTGCTTTGCGTATATTGAAGAATCCTTGCATCCTTGGGATAAATCCCACTTGATCATGGGGTGTGATCCTTTTAATGTGTTGTTGGATTCTGTTTGCTAGTATTTTGTTGAGGATTTTTGCATCTATATGCAGAAAATACTTTATTGCTAAAATTGCTAACCGTCATCTGACCCTTCAGTGAGTCATAACCTTTTTGCTGGTGGAGGGTCTTGCCTCGATGTTGATGGCAGCTCACTGATCAAGGCAGTGGTTGCTGAAGGTTGGGGTGTCTGAGGCAATTTCTTCCAATAAGACAATAACGAAGTTTGCCACACAGATTGACTCTGTATTCATCAGTGATATTGGTCTGTAATTTTCTTTTTTTGGTAGTATCTTTGTGTGGTTTTGGTATCAGTGTGATGGTGGCCTCAGAATGAGTTTGGGAGTGTTCCTTCCTCTGCAATTTTTTGGAAGAGTTTGAGGAGGATGGGTGTTAACTCTTTGCTAAATGTTTGATAGAATTCACCTGTGAAGCCATCTGGTCCTGGACTTTTGTTTGTTGGAAGATTTTTAATCACAGTTTCAATTTCATGACTTGTGATTGGTCTGTTCATACTTTCTATTTCTTCCTGCTTCAGTCTTGGAAGGTTATACCTTTCTAAGAATTTGTCCATTTTTTCCAGGTTGTCCATTTTATTGACATAGAGTTGCTTGTAGTAGTCTCTTAGGATGCTTTGTATTTCTGCGGTGTCAGTTGTAACTTCTCCTTTTTCATTTCTAATTTTATTGATTTGAGTCCTCGCCCTCTTTTTCTGGATGAGTCTGGCTAAAGGTATATCAATTTTGTTCATCTTCTCCAAGAACCAGCTTTTAGTTTTATTTATCTTTGCTATTGTTTTCTTTGTTTCTGTTTCATTTCTTTCTGCTCTGATCTTTATGATTTCTTTCCTTCTACTAAGTTTGGGTTTTGTTTGTTCTTCTTTCTCTAGTTCCTTTAGGTGTAAGGTTAGATTGTTTATTTGAGATTTTTCTTGTTTCTTGAGGTAGAATTGTATTGCTATAAACTTCCCACTTAAAACTGCTTTTGCTGCATCCCATAGGTTTTGGATCATTGTGTTTTCATAGTCATTTGTCTCTAGGCTTTTTTTTTTTTTTTTTGGTGGTATGCGGGACTCTTACTGCTGTGGCCTCTCCCGCTGCGGAGCACAGGCTCCGGACGCGCAGGCTCAGCAGCCATGGCTCACGGGCCCAGCCGCTCCACGGCATGTGGGATCCTCCGGGACCGGGGCACGAACCCGTGTCCCCCACATCGGCAGGCGGACTCTCAACCACTGCACCAGTGGTTTTTTGATTTCCTCTGATTTCTTCATGATCTCTTGGTTATTTAGTAACATATTGTTTAGCCTTCCTGTGTTAGCCTCCCTGTGTTTGTCTTTTTAAAGTTTTTTTCCCCTCAGTTGATTTCTAATCTCATAGCGTGGTGGTCGGGAAAGATGCTTGATATGATTTCAATTTTCTTAAATTAACTGAGGCTTGATTTGTGACCCAAGATGTGATCTATCCTGGTGAATGTTCTGTGTGCACTTGAGAAGTAAGTGTAATCTGCTGTTTTCGGATGGAATGTCCTATAAATATCGATTAAATCTATCTTGTCTATTGTGTCATTTAAAGCTTGTGTTTCCTTATTAATTTTCTGTCTGGATGATCTGTCAATTGGTGTAAGGGAGATGTTAAAGTCCCCCACTATGATCGTGTTACTGTCGATTTCCTCTTTTAGAGCTGTTAGCATTTGCCTTATGTATTGAGGTGCTCCTGTGTTGGGTGCATAAATATTTACAGTTGTTATATCTTCTTCTTGGATTGATCACTTGATCATTATGTAGTGTCCTTCCTTGTCTCTTGTAACATTCTTTATTTTAAAGTCTAGTTTATCTGATATGAGTATTGCTACTCCAACTTTCTTTTGATTTCCATTTGTCTGGAATATCTTTTTCCATCCCCTCACTTTCAGTCTGTATGTGTCCCTAGGTCTGAAGTGGATCTCTTGTAGACAGCATATATATGGGTCTTGTTTTTGTATCCATTCAGCGACCACGTGTCTTTTGGTTGGAGCATTTAATCCATTCACATTTAAGGTAATTATCGATATGTATGTGCCTATTACCATTTTCTTAATTGTTTTGGGTTTGTTTTTGTACATCCTTTTCTTCTCTTGCATTTCCCACTTAGAGAAGTTCCTTTAGCATTTGCCGTAGAGCTTTTTTGCTGGTGCTGAATTTTCTTAGCTTTTGCTTGTCTGTAAAGCTTTTGATTTCTCCATCAAATCTGATTAAGATCCTTGCCGGGTAGAGTAATCTTGGTTGTAGGTTCTTCCCTTTCATCACTTTAGATATATCGTGCCACTCCCTTCTGGCTTGTAGAGTTTCTGCTGAGAAATCAGCTGTTAACCTTACGGGAGTTCCCTTGTATGTTATTTGTCGTTTTTCCCTTGTTGCTTTTAATAATTTTTCTTTGTCTTTAATTTTTGTCAGTTTGATTACTGTGTGTCTCGGCGTGTTGCTCCTTGAGTTTATCCTGCCTGGGACTCTCTGCACGTCCGGGACTTGGGTGGCTATTTCCTTTCCCATGTTAGGGAAATTTTCTACTATAATCTCTTTGAATATTTTCTCAGGTCCTTTCTCTCTCTCTTCTCCTTCTGGGACCCCTATAATGTGAATGTTGCTGTGTTTAATGTTGTCTCAGAGATCTCTTAGGCTGTCTTCGTTTCTTTTCATTCTTTTTTCTTTATTCTGTTCCATGGCAGTGAATTCCGCCATTCCGTCTTCCAGGTCACTTATCTGTTCTTCTGCCTCAGTTACTCTGCTGTTGATTCCTTCCAGTGTATTTTTCGTTTCAGTTATTGTATTGTTCATCGCTGTTCATTTTTTAATTTTTCTAGGTGTTTGTCCTTTAATTCTTCTAGGTCTTTGTTAAACATTTCTTGCATCTTCTCAATCTTTGCCTCCATTCTTTTTCCAAGCTCCTGAATAATCTTCACTGTTATTATTTTGAACTCGTTTTCTGGAAGGTTGCCTATCTCCACTTCATTCAGTTGTTTTTCCAGGGTTTTATCTTGTTGCTTCGTCTGGTACATAGTCCTCTGCCTTTTCATTTTGTCTGTCTTTCTGTAAATGTGGTTTTCCTTCCACAGGCTGCAGGATTGTAGTTCTTCTTGCTTCTGTTGTCTGCCCTCTGGTGGATGAGGCTGTCTAAGAGCCTTGTGCAAGCTTCCTGATGGGAGGGACTGGTCGTGGGTAGAGCTGGGTGTTGCTCTGGTGGGCAGAGCTCAGTAAAACTTTAATCTGCTTGTCTGCTGATGGGTGTGTCTGAGTTCCCTCTCTGTTGGTTTTTTGGCATGAGGTGACCCAGTACTGCAGACTACCTGCTCTTTGGTGGGGCTAATGGTGGACTCTGGGAGGGCTCACACCAAGGAGTACTTCCCAGAACTTCTGCTGCCAGTTTCCTTGTCCCCATGGTGAGCCACAGCCACTCCCTGCATCTGCAGAAGACCCTCCAACACTAGCAGGTAGGTCTGGTTCAGTCGCCTATAGGGTCACCACTCCTTCCCCTGGGTCCCGATGCACACACTACTTTGTGTGTGCCCTCCAAAAGTGGAGTCTCCCCTTCCCCCCAGTCCTGTCGAAGTCCCGCAATCAAATCCTGCCAGGCTTCAAAGTCTCATTCTCTGGGAATTCCTACTCCCGTTGCTGGACCCCCAGGTTGAGAAGCCTGGCGTGGGGCTCAGAACCTTCACTCCAGTGGGTGGACTTCTGTGGTATAAGTGTTTTCCAGTTTGTGGGTCACCCCCCCAGCAGCCATGGGATTTGATTTTATAGTGATTGCACCCCTCCTACCATCTCATTGTGGCTTCTCTGCTGTCCTTGGATGTGGGGCATTTTTTTGATGAGTTCCAGCATCCTCCTGTCAATGATTATTCAGCAGTTAGTTGTGATTCTGGAGCTCTCTCAAGAGGGAGTGAGCGCACATCCTTCCACTCCGCCATCTTGAACCAATCTCTTTCC